TTACCTCTACTTACGCTCCCACTGACTACACTTTAGACGAGGTGAAAGAAAGCTTTCAGGCATCCTCCAAAAAGTTAGGCGCTCTGATGTAGTAATAGTGGCTGGTGAGTTTAATGCTCAAGTAGGAGGACTGAGCGATACTGAAAAAAACCTAGGTAGATCTTATGGTATCACAACTGATCGAACAGATAATGGAGACAGTCTGCTGCAGCTATGTTCAGATAACCACCTATTTCTGGCAAATATTAGTTTTAGGCATAGGGAAAGACACCTTTAGACAAGTCGACCCCTCAAAATAGACCCAACTAGACCACAATGCTATCAGATACCGACGAAGATGCTTCATAGAAGACTGCCGCTCATTCTAGGGCATACGTTTAGACTAAGATCATGCTCTAGTGCGAGCATATATTTGTCTACGGCTTGCTGGATATAGGAAAGACACTGCAAGAAAACCTCTTATGGTTCTACTTAATGATAGAAAAGCTAAGAATGTATTTCAGGAGTAACTAGAAAAACAGTTAGGCAGCTATGTGATTCCAACCCCGAGGCAGCTTGGAATGATATCAGAAAGCTATGAAAGCAGGAATGACATTCGCTAGTAAGGCAAACCATAAGGTTAGGGAGACGCAGTGGATCTCAGTAGCATCTACCAAGCCAACAGATACTCAGAAATCCACCCCGTTTGGCTCTGAACATAATAAGGAGCAGTCAGATTAAGCGCGGGCTGATAAGAAGCCTACGTAATGATCGCGAACAGTGGTGAGTAGCGACAGGAAGAGATTGAAAGTGCAGCGGCGATAGGTAACAGTAGTCAACTATTCACACTTATCAAAGAAAAGAGTATCGGAAATCCGACTGTTAGCGAGACTCAGAAAAATACCGGACTATTATTAACTTTTCAGACAGGAGATTGGGTGGATGGACAGACTAATGTTTATTTGGTAACTGAGATAGATTGGAATCTTTATCACGTATAACTAATATATCAACTGAAAATGTTCACCTTTGAACGTGACTTGGATTTTTTCAGTACACTAAAGTAGTTCTCTCAATAGTATTGACTGAATAGGAAAAAGAGGGAAATTACTCCACATATAGTCACAAAGGAAATTAAGTTTTGATCAAAGGTAGATTGGTAGTTGACATCAAAAGAATGCAGTCTTCTCTCTAATATTAATACCGTCAAAAACACCAACCAGTTCAAAAGCATCTAATGACAAAACTGAACACAACTTATCACTGACTGATTTCAGTAAGTTAGCTAACCATTTTGCTGGCTCATGTGTAGGTGACTTACATTGATACTATTGGTCGTAATGGATTATTAGGTATGTGAATTCTAGGCAATCCAGACAAATTCAGGAGTTCAGATCAGCGGGGTTTTAGCATATTGAGTCTCTCCTGCTTAACAACATACATTTTAAGGGACTTCATTGGATTAGAAATAACTTTCGATTCCAATTTAGCAACCTCATTATTAGATGAAGCATTCGTCATGAACTTACTTTCATCACTAGGAATGGATAACAAATTAGCCTAACCTTATCACTTGAGAAACATGTGTTTCTGGTAAAACAATAGCGCAATACAATAGCCAGACGTAGTATCAGTGACACCATACTATGGTGATGGGCGAATATGCATAGAAACGATAATCACTTACCCGCGCACCGAGCAACAAAACTTACATGGACCTTGAGGATTTAAATTGTCATCTTGGGACAACAAACTCAAACTTGCATGTAGCTAAAGCAAAAAATAACCACTAATTGAGGCTAAGCTTGTAAGAAAATCGCAAAGCATCCCCATTTCATCGTAAAAGGTACTTAACGTTGTAAAATGAGTAAGATATGAGCGGAAAAAATTTTGACTTTTGCAGTTCATATAGCTGTGGACGGAATAGAAGAAGCTTTTGATTACAAAGCTTCTGTATCTAAAAGCGATGGATCACCAGTACCAAAAAGTGCAAACCAAAGTAAAATAAAGGATTAAAGAAAAAATATTAGGAAATTTTAATGAAATACTGTACCGATTCCTTAAGAATATATCGAGTTTCTTCCTGAGGAACACTTGCGAAGTTACTTTTACTGACTCAGTCGATAAAGAACTTCGGAATTTAACTATATGTAAAGAGTGTCCAAAGTCTATTCCGATATGTTTGGCCTCGAATTTCTGGGTATTTCCCTTATGGTTTCCGTTGAGACTGAGGTGAAGTATTTTAGAGGATGTTCAGGAGTATCAGTAATGCCATGAGTTAATAGGTCACTTCTGAGATGCCCTTTCTCTTTTAATGGTAGTGAACTTACTAACTGATTTCAGGGTGTAATCCCTATGGATACGTTCCAGTGCATTGTTGTCCTTTTAGATGTGAGCGTCGGAAGCACTGGTACTTCTAGTGTACTGTTAATGTAGCCGAATAACACTTTAAAAATTAGGTGGAACGAGTCCCATTATCACACTGGCCGAAAATTTGACCTTAACTTTGCCTAGAATCAAAGTGTTGTCCGAAAGGTCTTTTGTGCTCACAACTACGTAAGACCTTTAGACTTTAGGTGGTCATGACTCTCAGTTTTTTGTTCAGGACACCTCTGGAGGAATACCTATGGCTGCATACATAGTTCCTGCAGCCAGGCGTGTGTGAATTACTTTCCACATTGAAGTGTTGATAAGTAAGGTCCATTTTCCTTCTGTCAACTGCGGAAGTTCATCTACATCCTCTTGAATAGGTCTTGACTAAGAACTTCGTCTCGAAAATTTAATATCACCAGCGCAAATAATAACTCAGAAAATACTTTTACGAAAATGGTCATTTATAAGGACTGTAAGAAGAAGTGGTCCTAGTACAGGAACAGAGGGACCTGAAAAAGTTGACCCTCACCTTAAAACGTCGCTGTTGTTAGATAACCTAACTGAGAACCATGCAGATTCATCATGACTGACAAACTCTTGAGAGTACGCTTCGTGGGCTATCAAGCACGACCATAGATACTGGGCAGCCCCGTTTTCCATTCCACTCTTCCTGACGCACTGAAAGAAAGACATGCCAGGTTATGGCCAGCTTCAGGTTCGTGATTTGGAATCATATCTTATCAAGTGGGTATTGTTGGCATTGTTTACTTCACACGACCAGTCCACTTTGTTCAGTTGAGCTCTCAGAGTTCTTCTATAAGCAGTCCATACTTCTGACTTGAAACGTATTCTCTGGGAAACTTTGTAAAATTTTGTTTGTTCCTCGAAATAACGTACTGGGAGATTATTTTGATGTCGTTAATGGAACTGTGCTCCGAAAATGTTATGTCCACCGGTATCCCCACATCACTTTCGGATTTCAGCAATTGTGCTGAGCAATAAGATGTCTTCCACATCTGCATTACTGGTGAACTGTATACAAAAAGAGTCTTGGATGGATTAGATGTTTTGATAATCTTCACTCAGGTAAACCATGAGACCATTAGTGATTCAGTTTGTGAGAGTTAGAACTTTCTGTCTAACTCTTCCACGGACACTGTCGTTTTTGTCCTGTAAACTTGTAGAACGGTCGAGACGATCTTCAAAGTCCGTGAGGATTAAAGAATCGTCACGAACCATGACTGGATTCTCAGGTTTGTGGATAAGTTGAAAACTGTTGTTCCTTTTTAGTAATCGCCAGATTTCGATCCGAGTTCTTGTGTATTTTGCGGACTGGTTGGACAAACTTTGGAGTGGATTGTACAATCGGTCCATTAACTAATTTTCTTTTCAAGACCTAGGCTACTGAATATCTTTGATGGTAACCTTTGATTCTTTTTTAGCTCCGTTGTATCTCATTACCACTCTCCTCAGAAGAATTTGCGTATGACAGTAGCTTTTTTGGAAGGATGGTGCTGAGGAAAATAAGTTTTCTGTGAGAGTTTGACACCGAGGACGTTTGTTGACAGTTTTGTTGGATGAGTTCGCGTTATATTCGTCGTCAGGCTCACAAATTGTGTGATTGTTATGGGATAACCAGTCATGTTGACGTCGATATTCAGTATATTCCTAGACTTCGTATACTGCTGGTCCTGACAACCGTTATTAGATAGCGCCCAACAGTGTATAAATCAGATGTATACAAAGCACTGAAGACAGTGATTATTGCACCATACACAGATCACAACACCACAGGAACACGTGGAGAATATGATATGTGAGAGCGGAAGAGCAAATGATCGAGCCCACTGAGTTCACTGGTGAAAAGGAATAAAATGTGCATATATTTACAAAGGAAAATGAATGAATCTGCAGTGACGCCACTTTTATGAATAGAACGCAATTGGTTTAGTATAAACACTCACTATCATAACCCATTGTACCAGTCATTGTTTTACTGAAGATATTGTTTATTTTTATTCCGTAAGCGCATACCTTCTGTATGCGTTGCTGCCATTTTTGGTTGTACTGCTAGCCTTAACGTCACCCTTTTTCTCTGGCACGATTTCGGTATTCCTTCGATACCACGAAATCGCCAGCAAATATATTCCCTTGCATGGATTAACTGTTCTTATCTATCCTTGATTCACGGAGATATTGCGCTTAGAAACGAGAACGTAATTGGTCTGTAGTGGTGCCCATTGTCAGTCATGACTTGTCCCACTATAAGACATTGTATTATTTAAGCGGCTAAAATTAAAGCGAGTAGAATGGATATGCTTGTAGGCGGTAAGCAATGCTCAATCATATTTGCTCCCACAAAAATGACAATAACAGAATCTGAACGGTGCAGACAAGTTTTTTCAGTACAAATGACTGTCTGTTAAACCAGTTGACCAAAAGGGCTTAAACATATTAAATGTATAGAAACTCAACTGTGTGTGAGTTTCTATGTGGTGCCATTTCAGCATGTGTTCTGTGGAGCTGATGCTTGTTTCATCGATAATGAAGTCATCGAAAATTACCTTCTTTCCCTCCCTGCACACCTTAGTTCGTCCATCAGTTACTGGCCGGCTTTTTTAGAATTGGTAACAGGTTTTTGAATTTCCACCTGCGAAATGACTTAGTGAATATGTTATAAGTAGCTGTTTTTCAATCTGTATCTACTTCATGGAACTATCATTTGCATTTATCACACTACATACCTCAGTTGACAGAAAAACGGCAGCCTGGACGCTTGCATGTGTTCTTAATGATCACCATGAAATTAAGTTATAAACCTATTGCAAAAATATTCGAAACGAATAAAAACAGGTGATGTCAAAACTTAGAATATACTGAAGCTAGACTCAATGTAAAAAACAGGATAGTAATCCAAGGTGAAACCACGGAATGCTGTTAACTGTAATAAAAATCAAAATGATAACAATCTACCGAACAGGGTCAGGATGGATTCTTTGGAACAAATATGGTACATTCGTAGCGCAAGAGAATAACGAAATCTTGGGAAAAGCAAACTAAGGTAACATGGTGGTTCATGTCTGTAAAAGGTGGGAAGCAATATCGTGTCGTCATTTACGTATTTAGAACTGCATATTAACAGCAGAAGGCATACAAGGTGTAGGGTCCATTTACAGTAAGCTTATGTGAGCCCTCGGGATTCTCATGAATGAATAAACAAAAGGTACAGAATCACTTCATTGGTGCAGAAAACCGTATTCAATAGCTTTCGAAATAGCCTTCTGTATTGTAAGTTGCCCTGATATAGTAGGAAAATTAAGAGAGGATACATGGGTTTGTAAATCATCTTTAAGTATTTTAAACCTCACAGATCATCGCTAAATATCCTATGAAACAGAGTAACGGAGTTTAAAATTACTGGCCGCTTCCAAGATATTCGAGTAATCCATCAAACGGAAGTATTCCGAAAGAACGCAGTTTTCAAGTTTGGATTTCATCAAGTTTATGTACACCGACGTTGACATACATGTATCAAACTTCATGAATGTCCTCTTGAGAGCAAAAGCCTTTGATCCGTTTCAGAAGTTATCCAGCAGTTCCTAGGTTTTTCAGGTCCATAAGAATTCTACAATGAGATATCTTGTAAAGTGATTTTCTGAAGTCATTGTATACGAAATTCCGATTTTCTACCATCAAATGAATGCAAATCACTATCTTGACATGATTTGGTTGGTTGATAACCCAAATTTTTTCAGGTTTCATAGTTATAACTGTTTCCACATACAAAATTGAATCTAATCTGGGTGTGACATGGAACGACTCCGACATTATTTAAAGCGAATATAACTATGTAACATATACGACCAATCGTTTTGGAATCGAAAGACCTAAATGTTTTAGTTTATGTAGAGCCGTATGTAGGAATTTGTTCCGCAATACGTAATTTCAAATCTGGTCTTCGAATAAGTTCATTTTTGTGTAGGACGGTAAGTACCTGTTAAGTGTATATTTGATTTATACAATCAAGGTCTGACTATCATTTAACTTAAAATGAAAAGAAGTGAAAACTTCGAATTTTTCACATAAATATACAAAGTACGCTTACATTCATAATTATTACTAATATCCTGATTCATCCAATAACCCCTAGTCAAGAAACACAAATTCTTGTATGGTACTTAGGTAAGTGGCTTCAAATACATGCTTCGGTTTCCGCCTTTGGACAGAATCCAAGCCTACATACTGTTACGTCCAATTTTTTGCTCCTTGATCCTTAGAAGCACTGTGTGTCGATGTTTAAAAAGACTCGATCGAACGTCTTCATTCGGGTTCGGCCGAGTGGAAACCGACGTGGCAAGCAAAAATATCGAGGACTGACATAACTATTTATTTTTGGGATTCATTTTTAGTGGTGATCGAGTCTAGATTGACTATGATCACCACTGGATACTAGTTAATAGCCTGTCACAGGCAATAAAAATAAATCCAGGGCAAAGAATATATTTGAAGGAGGAAGTGTGCGACATTAAGAGCAGCAAGTTATGAATGATGACAGCAACGCAAGTAAGTAAGTGTTTTTTAGTACACTTAAACGAAAGGAGTAAAATAATAAATGTTTCCTTTTCACCGATTGGGTTTTCTTCGTAGAATTATTCCATGGTATTGAAATAATACAAAGATCGTGCCAAACGTTTACAGACGAGACTACTGAGTGGGCGTGAGGAAGCTCAAGGTCGCAATAAGAGGAAGACTGGTGTTTTTGGTACAGTCAAACAAAGAGGTACGGCAAAACAATCACTAGTACAGTTCGGTATAATAATAAATGTCTCCATCACACCAAACACGTTTTTTACGTAAAAGTAGACCACTAAAATATATAGATCGGATTAACGTCTGGATAGCAACCCTGTCTATGCAGGAGACTTTAATGAACCCCACCAATTATGAAATATGTCGACCCTACAACCATCCCGACCGCAACTGCTACCCTTACGTGGTGGTCGGGCTTGCCTATCGTGATGACCCGACCGAGCTATATTGGCTGCAACATATGTTCCTGAAGGTTCTACCATGCCAGGCAGGTCGATTGGAGAACGATGAGACTAAAAGCAGCTACCCAAGGTCTGAGGGCAAAGTCGTACTGCTGACTGCAGAGGGGTGTGACAGCAGTAAGGTGTTTCCCTCGGACAACCAGCATCTGCAGCGATGCTGCCTTCTCACAAGGAAGGAAGGGTTAGAAAAGGTCGACCCTAAAAATGTCACACCTCACCCTACCTCGCGGATTTCCGTCTCCGGCAGTAAGGGTACCTGTAGAATTTATTTCGCAGGCGGCTGTCCTAATCGCGTCCAATAGAAACACACCGGTACGATTCTCCTAGATACCCGTCCCAGCCAAATCAGAAAGCCGAAAATTCTAGGAGAAAACCGTCTCTATTGTTATAAAAAATGGAAATACAGAGACTTACGATGTTTATGTTTCTTCCAGGACTAAATTACTCCGTAGAGTATCTATTACAATAGCTAGTAAGTGACACTAAGTTCAGCAGCCACTGCGTCTATCCAAAAATGTGGCGGTAGCCATATTATATCAAATTTAAACAATATATGTACAATTCAGAAGCAAACACAAAAACTTCAATATAGGTACAAAATATGGAAAGAATAACGACATACAATGGTAAAATCTCAAATTGGAATCAAATAAAATACCAAAAATGTCAAGAGAAAAAGTCCATCATGTCATGGCAAAAATATGTAAACATGGAGGGATTTTCCCAAAAACAAAACATTCAAAAAGAATTCTACACCGGCCCGCAAAATCCCTCCATGCAAAAACAGCAAGCGTTAACGACACCTTAATTAGGGTTCCCATGTTATCCCCTAATCCACACCGGAATAACGTGTAGGACTTACAGCAGTACGCCTACCCGCCATCCAACATGGATATGACCTATCGCGCTAACTAGATACCTATACTTTCCCATCAGGCCCTTGATTCCCCTATCTATCGTGGAATGACCTAACGGTAGTATAAACCTTCCCCAATTAACCCATACGAACATGAACAACGCGTCGCAAACCTGGTCATATCCTATCCAAGGACTACATTCTCTATCGTGGGGACGAGTCGCCAATCCACCACCACTTGCTCTGATCAGCAGATACCATGAAGTCCGTGATGCCAACTTATCAACAGAAGTTTTTGACCCATAACTAATATGCAAGGGTGAGATTTCCAATTTTGACATTTCGTCGTCTCCAGAAGACCTTAAGTAGCATGACGTAGGATCAATATTTATCCTTCCATCTCCTGATGCAGAGGAGGTTTGAACAGTGTTCATCATCGTCGGTAACTCATTTGTCACATCAGTGACATCCAGTTTATTATCAACGTCTAAATGATTCCGTTCTACATTAGCATCCGTTTCCGCGGCACAAGACATATGCTCAACAATAGCATCGTCATCACACAGCACTGTAGACTGTCTGTTACCATCAAACATTTTCTTCTCATCATCACTCGACTGACGGTCAACCGTAATAGGAACAGTTACAGCTGCACAACCTTGTGCATCTTCAATCGACTTAACCTTCGTGACGAGGTCCAACGGCGTCGAAACACTAGGAGGCTCACTCGATGAAGTCGATAAACTAGTCCCTATAAGTGGACTGCTGACACTTTCTATATCCTTATTATCACTGTGACTATTGAGGTTCTGATGGCTACTATTTCCATAGCTAATCGTAGCATCCGTAAGAGCATGAGGTTCAGGCTTTTTAGTAATAGTAGCATCATGTCTCCTAGGCTTCTTAACCGTTACTGTATCACCATCACTTATCCTAGAAGCTACTCTAGGTCCAGTTATATAATTTACCCTAACTGAAGGGTTCCGAAAATAAGCTTTATTCCGTTCAGTCAATCCTGCCTGGGCTTTATTCATATTTGCTGAACTCACTAACCTCTGATTACTCGAATCCAAATTACCGTTCCAGGCTTTTCGAGCAGCTAAGAGGCTTTTATCGTCACACACTTCGGATCCATCTTGATGCCTACACTTTTCGCCTTTTTCTTTCTTTTCTACACTTAGAAAAGCCATCTTATCTGTTACACCAACCGGCTTCTTACTAGGACACGCATCAAGAGAATTTACATCGTTACGGTCACGTACTCGTCCTTCATCAGCGTATGCTTTCGTGATATAATTGACAATTCTCTTATCTTCCGAGTATGCTTTAGGTAGAAACGAAGAATCCGAATGTCTCGCACGCAGACCACTAGTAGCTTCCATATTATTTCCTGTTTTAGCCTGATAAGCTAATCTTCCAAACCTACTACCAGCTATCTTAGCACGAGACATAATAAATTCCGTCAATTCGTTAAAATTGGGCTCTCTCTCCTCTTCGTCCCACTTGAATACTAGCTCTGCCCACTGGGCTTGCATTCGACGAGGTAGGAGCCTTACTATTCGTTCTAAAGTAGTCATAGAGTTAAGTTCAGCTGTACAATTTAACTGTTCTAAAGTTAAAGAAGCATTCTGCATTTTAATGGCCAAGTTCGTCAATGATTCGGGATCATTAAATTCGACATTCCCAGTTCTAAATAAGTCCTCTAAGGTTTCTCGCGCTATCACATGTGACTGCCCAAAAAGCTGTTTTAAAATAACCTTAGCTCTCTTATATCCTGCCTGTGGGTCCATTATAAGACAGCCTTCGATCGCATTTTTAGCTTTTCCCTTACAATAATGAATTAAATACAATAAACGCACTTGATCATCCTTGATTCGAGGTTCTATAAACGTCTCTATCTGTCGTATGAACTTAAAATAGTCGCGAGACCTTCCATCAAAATATGAAAGTTCAACCTTAGGTAATTCTAAACCCTCTATCGATGACTTACGTATCTGATCGGTCTCCGGTACTTTAGGACTCTCACTTAATCCTGATTCCTTAATGCCTGCCGAGGGTGACTTACAATAATAAATATCAGACATAACATGAGGATTACCCATAAAAAGGTTATTATCAACGACTTGCCTAGAGCCCTGTGATCCGTCGAGCTCTTCCACCCTCCTCACGTGTGATTTTTTTCGGTTTGACATCATAAATAGGATTCAATACGAAAGGTAACAGATACAAAATAGAATAGTTCCAAAATTCAGTTCAGAATTAAGATAAACGATTAAAATTCCAATTGTTTCCTTGTAATTCTTAATAATCCAAATAGATCCGATTATATGCGTTCTGGTAAATATTTCCAAGTATAATTCACGCCAGAAGGATAAACATCAGACTGTAGAATTTATTTCGCAGGCGGCTGTCCTAATCGCGTCCAATAGAAACACACCGGTACGATTCTCCTAGATACCCGTCCCAGCCAAATCAGAAAGCCGAAAATTCTAGGAGAAAACCGTCTCTATTGTTATAAAAAATGGAAATACAGAGACTTACGATGTTTATGTTTCTTCCAGGACTAAATTACTCCGTAGAGTATCTATTACAATAGCTAGTAAGTGACACTAAGTTCAGCAGCCACTGCGTCTATCCAAAAATGTGGCGGTAGCCATATTATATCAAATTTAAACAATATATGTACAATTCAGAAGCAAACACAAAAACTTCAATATAGGTACAAAATATGGAAAGAATAACGACATACAATGGTAAAATCTCAAATTGGAATCAAATAAAATACCAAAAATGTCAAGAGAAAAAGTCCATCATGTCATGGCAAAAATATGTAAACATGGAGGGATTTTCCCAAAAACAAAACATTCAAAAAGAATTCTACAGTACCCACTAAGGGTTTCTAAGAGCGGAGCTAACACTCAACAAGCCCTTCATAAAAAAGCCGTGCGTAACAGGCCTCAAGCAGTTGTTCCTGGGTTTCCGCGTTCACGCTCCCAGGTCGCTAAGACCAACACTAATCTATCTTCCTTTACAGGTCCCTCAAGAAACAAACTTCCATGGTCTGGGCAGCCGGGGAGTGATAACCGCCCTCATACCTGTAACAGCACAAGAGATCAAATCCTTCCTACGCCCTAACACACCACTCTTATCTCCACAACTAACTCTACTCACATTCCGTTATCTCACTGCACCGCTAATTCAAACGAAGCGGGTTCACGAAACGTCATTCCTGGTCTTTCGAAACCCCGTTCCAGACTACATGTTGAAGGTTTTAGTGTACGGTTTTGGTAGTGGATATCCCCTGAAAATACTCTACGCTTCTGTTCGAGTCGGACAAGAGGGAAGTTTTTCAGTCGTAAAAAATACAGGTAAAGCAACTGACTTATCGCACAGCGGGTTGAATTTGTTGTTTCAATAGCAGTCGAAAATACTTGTTTACTCTAAGTTGATGACGAAATGAATTAGAATAGCAATGCTCCTTAATACATTTTCGGACAGTTGAATTCATTGAAAAGCACATTTATAAAAAACAATATAACCGTAATGAAGTAAAATGAATACAGGAGAACTGAGTAATAGTCTCTACTTATACCCCTTTGCAAATGCATTGAATTCGTATTGAAAACAGCACTAGAATGACCAGACATTATATTGAATAGAAATCACATCGGCAATAGAGTAGCCAACAATCGTATTATGGTGAAATAAATCCAGGACTATATAAGACGGGTTTAGTCTCCACTGTAACAAAATAAGTTCGAAGCGTCCAGTATCAGTTACTCAATGTGTCTCGAATATGATTCGGCAAAGTTGTGAAATAGAGGAAACAAATAAGTATAGGTAAATAAAAATTAACCAAGCTAGCCAACCAGTATGATGAGGTTTATACAATTAGCGACCACATGCTTGGTTTGAACACACAGATACGAGAGTTTTACATGTCTGTTTTGACAATCTCAAGACAATTTTGTTACGCGGATTGGAAACAGAGCTACTTATATTTAGGGAGTAGTGTTGTCTCAGAGATTACCATACAATAAAACGCCGAGATCCAACTTAATCCAGTGGTTCTAAAAACTATGGTGTGATCAAATCCACGAGAAAACCTGTTGCCGATCCAAAAGAAATAAAAAAGACTAAGATCAGCAGTTGATGACCAGATAGCTAGCTTGTTTGCAGTATAGATTAAACTCATATTGTTAGATGGCTGATTTAATGCGATCGGTAAATATGTGAGGTCAAAACTGTACTTTGTTAGGGAAAACTTCAAGGTCTATGTCGTAGCCATTGGTTTGTTGGTTATGAGATTTTCAATCTCAGGATACTGACAAGTTGGTTGGGTGGTTTTATGTTTAACCAAGATAAATTCCATCCGAAGTTTGACTAGAAACAAATGTGGAACATATAGATATCGTGATAGTTTGTTAATATTTTTTGATGTTGAGTGAGTCTACACTTGTTGGTGCAACCTTCCCACTTGTGTTAAGGCATATATACACATGTGTGACTTCTCAATAGAACAATGTGTTGCAGCTAGTCACATGTAACATTTTTATTTCAAACATCATCTGATCACGCCATCTGCGGTAACCTTTTACGATGACACAACAGTTAAAGTCTGTTGGATGACACGATATTAAAATAAATCTCTATATACACTCTCGTGTTTTTCAAATATGAGCAGTTTAAGTACACTGTTTGATCTTTCTTGTTTTCCCGTTAAAAAACTGTTTAAGTTGTAACCAACAAAATTTATTTGAATAATAATCAATTATCATTGTTAAAAAATTCTATATTTCTCAATTTTCGAATTTGTTTTTTCTTTTATACAGTTTCTTTTTGTTACAACAGCATGGCAAACAACACAAGCAGTTCGATAAAATTCAAACGAAAATATACAATTGAGAAGAGAAACAAGTTCATGATTATTACTATTATTATCATAATCATTATTTTCTACTACTTTTTGATATTTTCATTGCTGATATAATGTTTGCTTCATATGCTGGAAAACAATCTCGTAAACATTGGAGACCATTTCGTAGTGCATCGATAGCTGAACCATCTGAAATGTTGAACAACATAAAGATTTTTATTTTTATTTGTTAAGTAAAATGCATTATTATGATTAGAAAATTGATAATATATCAGTTCGAGCGCTTGATTTCAATTAACAAATAAATCATATAAGTGAATTGAATTCTACTACGTCCCGACCGTAGCTGCTATCATTACGCGGTGGTCAGGCTTACCTATCGTGATGACTCCACCGAGCTATACTGGCGGGAACATATGTTCCAGAACGTTCTACCATGCCAGGTAGGTCGATTTGAGAACGATGAGACTAAAAGCAGATACTCAAGGTCTGAGAGCGAAGTCGTATTGCTAACTGTAGAGGGGTGTGACAGCAGTAAGGTGTTCCCCTCGGACAACTAGCATCTGCAGCGATGCTGCCTTCTCACAAGGAACGAAAGATTAGAAAGTGTCGACCTAAAGATGTCACGCCTCACCATACCTCACTGATTTCCGTTTCTGGCGGTAAGGGTGCCCACTAAGGGTTTCTAAGAGCGGAGCTAATACTCAACAAACCCCTCATAAAAAGGCCGTGCGCGGCCAGCCTCAAGCAGTTGTCCCTTGAGCTCTGCGGTCACGCTCCCAGGTCGTTAAGGCCAACGCTAATCTACCTTCTTTTTCAGGTTCCTCTAGAAACACCCTTCCATGGTGTGGGCAGCCGGGAAGTGATAACCTCCCTCATACCCGTAACAGCACAAGAGACCGAATTGGTCGAAATCAAAAAATTCTACTACGAACAGTAAGAAACTGGTTGGCGGCGTATGGTTCATTGGGCGTAACATGCGTAAATAAGTAAGTAAGTAAGTAAGTAAGTAAGTAAGTAAGTAAGTAAGTAAGTAAGTAAGTAAGTAAGTAAGTAAGTAAGTAAGTAAGTAAGTAAGTAAGTAAGTAAGTAAGTAAGTAAGTAAGTAAGTAAGTAAGTAAGTAAGTAAGTAAGTAAGTAAGTAAGTAAGTAAGTAAGTAAGTAAGTAAGTAAGTAAGTAAGTAAGTAAGTAAGTAAGTAAGTTGTGCAACAAATGTCACATATATATCTAAACGATCTAACTACATAGCCTAATATGTAAAATTAAACTTAATTTTCGGATGATACTTTTTCACTTAAGTTGTTTATTTGTGACAAATTAATGTAAAACTTATTAATTGAAATCATCCACAATTCAATTACGATCAATAGTGTATGGAAATATTGGAGTAAATGAAATGAATAACGTGATTTATGTAACAGGTACAAGTTTATTGTACTTGCCTGTGAAACATTGCGTTTATATAACGACTACTGGTATTACTTAGTCGCCTAAAACCGAAGTATGTAGAAAGGAGTTCGAACATGGAATTAGTAAGTCAAAGTCTTATATAAATACAATACATAGAACACAACACAAGTGTAATATATTTGAAGAGTAAAGGTCAAGTTTGATACTTCAATAATGATTGTTAACAAGTGATTAAAGGTAAATATAACTGTACAAATGAACATTAATTTGATTTACATTACAATGTTTAGTTCAATAAGCTATATCCTAACCATGCAATACCACACTAGCACAGAGACGCAATTGTCAGTTGAAATCCCATAGTAGTATAGGTAGTAGAAATATGAGCAGTATTCAGAGGGATTAGAGTTCGAAGATATTATTCAAGAAGTATAATCTAGTGAAATAAACTTGAATAGAGAAAGATAAAGGTGATGAAGAATCCAGAGGATTAAGATTTGAGGGAAGCCAAAGAGTCGATGCACCTGCGCCATTGCAAACGGTTTTGAGCCATGTCATTCAAGATGTCTAACCATCGATTATTATTGTCGCGCGGATCCCAACCAGGTGGCCTACACCTGCCAACATGACTCAGTCCTGTCAGTGACTTCATGGATTTCTGCAATGTTTCGGTTTGGCAGCCCCTAACTTTCTTCCAACATGCTCGTACACCGCAAAACATAGCTCGACGAGGCAGTGGGTGGTTTCGCATACGCAACACATGTACCAATCACTTCAACAGATGAAGTTTCAATACAGAGTTAATTGTTAAAATAGGAAAACCTTACCGTAAACCGCTAATTTGCAAAATATCAATCCATCATATCGAACTGGACTGTTCCTGTTGCAAACATCAATCCATTGTCTGACATTTCACTGTTCATACGTTTCATACAAATCCCATTGTGTTCCCGCTCTTCCTTTCTTGATCTTCCCTCATCTTCTGCTGCCAGACATTACGTTTTTACTCGCGTCATATACTACTTATAAGTAGCGCGCACCACACTACTACTACATCACTGGAAGATTTCCAACTTCTAACTCTCGAAATTCTTAAGGATTATAGTTACTACATTAACGCAAAACTACAACAAACAATTAGTAGTTTTAAACACTGATTTTTTATATCTTAGAGTGACTTTTTTTTCAAAAATTATTGTTAAAGCAATTCTACTCACATTATTATTATTATTACTATGCGTTAAAAAAATGGACATTAACTAAGCAGTGTGATTTACTTATCAAAAACTGTATACACATTCACAAACTTATTGGTTAATTTGTTCTTCTCTCATTTGGAAATCTTTTGTGATGTTTTTATTTGACAATACATTTAAAGAGAATATAATGTCAAATATATTGGTCAGTCAGTCAGATGCAATGTAGAACTTCGTACGTACGTACATCAGTACATGTTCCCATAACACAACATTAGCACAGAGATGTAATTGTCAATTCAAATCCCATAGTAGTAGAGGTAGTAAAAGTAATCGGAGAGATTAGGATTAGAATATATTATTCAAGAAGTATAAAAGATTTGATTGTGACCAATTTAGTCTCGTATGCTGTTACGGGGGTATGAGGGCGGTTGTCACTCCCCAGCTGCCTACACCGTGGAAGGCAAATATATAAATAGAAGAATATATAAAAAGAAGAAATAAAACCAAACAACAGTTTCATCTATCTTACTTTTCATTTGAATATCAAAATTGATCATATCCTCTAATGGATGAGGTACACAATAACCACAAAATCGAACTAATTCACTGGGATGAAAAATAGGAGTGAAAATGTATTATAAACTATGCAGTAAGTAAGTATATAACTGAAACTTTAAAAAAAAAGATAGCATAAAAAAAATAAAAATTAATACTATGAGAATATATGTTGTACAGAAAAAAAGATGTAACTCTTAGTATAAAATCATATTAATTGAATGACAATTAAAATCAGGTAAAATGTTATCGATTAGTTTTGGAATTCATCTATCAGTTAGAAAATAGAATCAAGAATGAATAAGCCATTCTTAATAATTATCACAGTCCAAAAATTGACGATATGAATTCGTATAGTTTGTTGTAGGCACACACATATATATACTTAATAATCGAACAGATACTTCATAATTTGAGGGATCAATGAAAACTGAGAGTACATACTATAAGCCAGGACGTGACTAACTAGCGAGGTATAACCAAAACTTTCAGAAGTGTCGTCTTTATTTGATCGCACTTCTCTCAACATGGTCACTACCAGAGACCACAGATTCCAACATAATTTTTACAGATCTGTCTAATTTTTTTACCTAATCAACCTAATCAGCTTGATATTAAACTGTTTGCTGATGATTTGAACTAATAGAGTATAAAATCAGTTTATTGTTCATTGAAAGTTCAGTTTTCTTAAAAACAGAAACCAGTTTACAAAGAAATGTAATGTATATTTACACATTCCCCAAAATACTAAGTTATTAATCTTGGTTTATATATATCCCATGAAATACAGAAACGTTTACAGTGTGTCGTTTATCAGAACCATGTATCAGTTAATGAATATTGCTTTTCTTTATACCCGGCCGAAGCTGCTACATTGACATGGTGGTCGGGCTTGACTATCGTGATGACCCGACCGAGCTATACTGGTCTGGAACATATGTTCCTGAAGGTTCTACCATGCCAAGCAGGTCGATTGGAGAACGATGAGACTAAAAGCGGCTACCCAAGGTCTGAGTGTAATGTCGTACTGTTGACTGTATAGGGGTGTGACAGAAAGAAGTAATGTGATTCCCTCGGACAACCAGCATCAGCAGCAATGCTGTCTTCTCACAAGGAAGGAAACGGTTAGAAAAGGTCGACCGTAAAAATGTCATACCCCACCTTATCTCACGGATTTCCGTCTCCGGCGGTAAGGACTTTTAAACAAGAGCGGAGCTAACACTTTAAAAACTTCTCATAAAAAAAGGCCGTGCGTGACCGGCCTCAAGCAGTTGTCCCTTGGGCTCTGCGGTCACGCTCCCAGGTCTCTAAGACCAACGCTAATCTACCTTCCTTTTCAGGTTCCTCAAGAAACACCCTTCCACGTTGTGGGCAGCCGGGAAGTAACATCCGCCTTCATACCCATAACAGCACACGAGACCAAATTGGTCACAATCAAATCCTACTCTTCTTTATATCATCCGGTTACGAATCTAGCACAATCTACCACAGCATCTAAAAACTTGGTTATTTAAACTTGAACTACATCAGTAAGTAGCTGCAGACTTATTGATTACAGACCTGAAAAATGTTCATAATTTATGTTTTCAAACAAGCGACATGACTTAAAATTTATTGCAATGACGTATTTGCATTTTAAATATCTATTTTCTTTCAAATACTAAGCATCATTCCTACTGATAAAACAGTACAAATAAAGAGAATAGAACGAATAAAAACTAGAAGACTTACTCACGTAAAATACAATATCTAAGCGCTAAACCTAATGTATGATCTTCTCCAAAAAATGTGAATGTTGCACGTAATTTATCATGTGAAATATGTGCTACTTCAAGTCCAACTTCACGTCCATTCAAATAACTACGATTACCTTTTGGGATTAGCTGTGATTTCCAAAAAAAAACTAATGATGAAGTTTTAAATAAGAATTACAATAAAACATGTTATTTAAATATAATCAAAGGTTGGAAAAGTTTTCATCATCTAGTCCACTGTTCAATTCTTTGTTTTCGCTCAATTTCAACTTTAGCTGTTGAAATTTATTTCACTGGCTTATACTGCCTGAATCATATTTTCGATCCACAAATCTTTTCGATTACCAGGTTTCTAATGGTGGTCTAACATTGATCGATTCATGGTTTCAAAAATGTGTAACTTAACAATCTCCACAACCCCGTAATGCAAATTACCTGTGCTCACTAGTGACTAGCTTCGTGAGGAATCTTCTCCGAGTTCCTCTGGTGGGAAGACGTGACCAGTGAAGTTAACCTGTTTGGGTGTAGGCAGTGTCTACCGAAGACTGTGTATGAGGTTGCGCAACTCCGTGAATTTGATCAAGTTAGACATTAACACCGTTAGATACCGGCTCAGTAGTCTAACGGTTAGGGCGTTCGCGCACAATACCGAAGGTCGTGGGTTCGAATCCTGCGGGATGCAGGAGTCGTGGATGCGCACTGCTGAGGAGTCCCATACCAGGACGAAACGGCCGTTCAGTGCTTCCAAGTTTCTAATGGTGGTCTAACATTGATCGATTCATGGTTTCAAAAATGTGTACCGCTAATACTTCTACTACCTCTACTACTATAGGATTCGAATTGACACTCCGATCTCTGTGTGATAATGTGGTACGGAAACATGAACTGATGTACGTACATACCAAGTTCTATGTTGTAGGCTAACTGTCTGATTGTTACTGTTATCAATTAAGATAGGATATTTTTAAAACCGGAAAATGAATTAATAAACGTATGTTGAGTAGTCAAAATATACAGAAAAAAAGATTGATAAGTTATTAAATAAAAAATCTATTCCAATAGTTAACAGAAATTTGTGAAACGTTATCAAGAACCTTATATTTGCTGATCTGATTGATGTTGAACATTAGAGTTGAGTTAAAAAAGATCCTTACAAGTTATTCAATAACTAAGATGAAACTTTTCAGATAATTTACGCAGATTTGGTAGGATTTTTCTCAAGAGTTTTGTTTGTGAAAATCCCTTCAATCATAATATATATATTTTTCTATTGTAGTTTACTACTTTACTTGTAAATGTGAGTTTTCCCTTCTTCTTGATCCTTCACAGTTGTACATTTCGTCGATATGTTTTGACGCTAAAATAATAAATAAAGGCAAAGCACTTTGAAGAACTTTTGAATCGACCAGCCCCACTGAACCCACCCAACATTGGAGCAGCACCCGCACACCTCCCAATCAATGTTGGACCACCAATAATTGAAGAGATCAGCATGGCCATCAGACAAATCAAAAGCAGCAGGACCAGACAACATTCCAGCAGTGCACTGAAAGTAGATGTAGCAGTAACTGCAACGATACTCCACATTCTCTTCAGCAAGATTTGGGATGAAGAACAAGTTCCAACAGAATGGAAAGAAGGACACCTGATCAAGATACCAAAGAAAGGCAATCTCAGCAAGTGTGAGAACTACAGAGGTATTACTCTACTATCAGTAACAGGGAAAGTCTTCAACAGAGGGTTGTTAGACAGAATGGACTCCGTAGACACCCAACTTTGAGATTCACAGGCTGGATTCCGTAAGGATAGATCGTGTACCGATAGGACCGCGACACTACAATCAGTCAGTTGCTACGTAGAACTTTGTACGTAAGTACATAAGTTCAAGTTGCCATACCACATTAGCACAGAGACGCTACTGTCAGTTCAAATCCCATAGTAGAAGTATTACTGGTAATGGGGAAGATTAGGGTTTGAAAATATTATTCAAAAAGTATAATTCAGTGAGATAAGGTTAGAAATACAAAGGTAGAGGTGCTTCCAATTCCAGAAGATTACGATTTCAGAGATCACAACGAATGGATGCACTTGGGCCATTGCAAACGATTTTGAGCCATGTCGTTCAAGGTCTCAAACCATTAGTTACTATCGTCTCACGGACCCTAACTAGGTAGTCTGCATCTACTAACATGACTCTGTCCAGTTGTCAGTGGAATTCATGGATTTCCGCCATATTTTGGTTTGGCCGCCCCTAACTTTCTTCCAGCCTATTCCTACACCACAAAACGTGGCTCGTCGAGGCAGTCAGTGGTTAGGCATACGTAACACATGTCCCAACCACCTCAACTGATGAAGTTTCAATACTTCATCTATTGATCTTCCATCCTTATCTACATCCGTTTCCTAACGACAGCATTGCTTACTCGGTTGTCCCACGGTAAACGAGCAATGCTTCTTAAACATCTATGATCGAATACTAATAACCTATGAATATCTTCTACTCTTAACGGCCATGTTTCACAGCCATGAATTAGGATGGAGCGAACTACTGCATAGTACACTCGTCCTTTGGTCAGCAAACGGATATCTCACCTACGACATAAGTGACGCAGGTTGGCAAAAGCCAAACGACCTTACTGTATCCGAGCTAAGATTTCGTCAGTCACCAGGCTATCAGCGCTGATGAGACTCCTCACAGATAAGTGAAGCAGTCAACACGCTCGACTACTTCACTCCCTATCACTAGTTCAGGTGCCGATGCAACCCAATCTTGAAGCAACATTTTGCATTTCGAGGGGGAAAACCACATCCCGAACATGCTCGCATTTTGTCAGCGTCTTCACCAATTAGAACTATGTCATCGGCATATTCTAGATCAGTAAGCCATTTTCCTGGTAGAAGGTCAACCCCTGAAAATTCTTGAGTGTCAGATATGGCTTCTTTGTGAGCCTTGAGTTTTGCGCCATGTTATTCCTTCTTACTTTCCTTCACTTATTTTTATGACCAAGATTTTCTGTAAGTTTTGATGACAAGTATCAACAAGTGCGAAATCAAAATCCTTTAAGTTAGATGGTTTAGTCGTGATGTTTTCTTGCTCGAAAACACCATTATAACGTATTTCAGAAAGCAGTCAGCTATTACAATTTCTCCACCATCGACTAACAACTTTTTTTTGTTCTAAGTTATCAGAATAAGCTGTTAGTTGATCGTGAAGAAATTCTAATAGCTAACCGCTTTTTGAAGTATGTACTAATGATACTATTTTAAAGGACTATGGAAGAATGACAAGTAAGCGATTTATAGGATGTAACAAAATTGAAATCGGTAAAAGTATTATCAGTTATGTAACAATGAAACATAGAAGCATGCTGCTTAGCTTAGTGCTTGCATTGCACTTTGAGATAGATTTTATCGACAAAATAGGAGCACAATATAATACTAGTCAATATTTAGCTAATAACATATCTTACATTAATATACTTAACACAAATAAGTCATTATCTATTCTAGACAATAGATAAGTCAACACTATACACATAAAACAAACAGTAGGTAATAATAAATATCCTTCTTTTTCATTGAAATCACGAGTCGATCAGCGTTAGATCACTATTCGAAACCAAGAAGCACTGGGCAGTGGTTTAGCCCTACTAGTAGTGCTCATTCATGACCACGCAAGCGGGAGTCAAACGCACGTGCAAACGTCCGACCTCTAGATCACTGGACCAGCATCCAATGACGTCTACATTTCCTGAGTCTCGACACATAGTGGACTCTTATATCTTCAACAAAATTAAACTACAAGAATGGAATACTATGACTTACTACATTTCTTTCAGTTGTATGACTTTCAGTGTTATCTTTAGATATATCAATGAGTGGTTTACACTCTTCAACGTGCTCTCCAAAACCAGGTGTTTCTGTAACAGCCATATAATGTGAACATTTACTAATCATAACACCTAAAGCACAACGGACTAATGATGATGGAGGTCGGCTACCAGGCGCTATGGTTTCAACAGTGAAAATACAATGTGATGAATCCATTCCGACGAAAATAACATCGCGGAATTCAGGATGGCGCATATGCTCCCGAGAACCATTATCTAAACGAGCATTGTCGACAAAGGCATGACCAGTTCTTGAATTTATCTAGGTAGAAAAAGAGATGTGTAAAATACACCTGATTAATGTGACTTTCTGATGGGTTTCACTCTCAAACGTAGTCAACAGATATTGAAATATTAGATTGTATAATAGCATACTTCACTTGGTTTCTGAAATGATTCAAATACCTTAAAACTAAAGATTATGGTGGAAGATAAATCATACCAGCAAGTAGGGTGCATTTTACATATAAGAAAGCATTGATCATCTAGTGGTTCTGTTGTATACTCATACGACTCATCCCCAATTGCTCTCGTACGACCAATGGTGAGGTGAGTTTGTTTAAGAAATTTGGTGGACAAAACGTTAACATCCAGTGGCAGCTTAAACTAGGTTGGTGGGTACGGAGGAGGATCTTGGAGGACTAAATGGAGTAAGAACTTAGTCTTGGTCACTGGCTTTCATGGGACTTCACCTCCTGACGTTGCGTCACTGCCTTGTAGATCAGACCTCTAGACCAAAGGTTCAGGAAGTAGGCTTCGAAAAACCCATCTGCTTTGATTTAGGCACGCGAGCAGTATCCCAACCCATACGTAAATTCATTGATTTGTGTGGCACATATTTCGGTTTCCTTTCCTAGTAAGGTTTATGTGATACCAGTCAGCCTCCTAAAATAAAGTAAATGAAGTGATCAAAAACTAACTTTCTTATTTACTCAACAAACAGTCACTACTTGACTATGACATTATCAAAAATGATCCTTCTTGTGATTGAATTTGAAAAAGTTTGGATCAATATGAGACTACGCAGGACAGCAGGTCTTAGTGGTATGTTTTAAATTCTTAGTAATAACAACCAGTGATAATTAATGTATTAGTCTGGTCTAGATTGTTTCAAGAAAATAAACGGGGAAACTTAGATAATTTTTTCCAAGAATCTAGCTGTTTGACATCTAACAGACAAAGGGAACAGATTGCATCAGGATTGATATATAACTTACTGATTATTCTTTTCCTGCAATCTAAAACATGGAAACCATCCTGTTTTATTAGGTAACCGTCCATGTTTATGTACTAGCCTTCGAGTCGTATATATTTAATGAAAGCTTGTAAATCGTATCTGGCTGGTTAATATTAGATTAGAGGACTGATAAGGTAACTCACTACTTAAAACCCCAGAAGAATATAAATCATATGAGGTAAGTACTTACTCCAATCACACCAGACGCGAAACTTTTTTGTAATTTAACTGCCTGTTCTCCTTCAACTGTACGAAGAAGTTTAATAATAGGATGAAATTTATAGTAAGCTGCTGCAACTGGTGAAAATTTAGCATGATCTCGACCAATTCCTTTCACTGCAACACATCGAGCTTCAATTTCGTCTCCAAGTGCCAATTTATTGATAAGTATTGTTGGAGATACTGGTATAGGAGGATTATTGACATTAAAGTGATCCTCTTGACCAGCTAGTGGTACCCACTTGAGATCCGAACTAGGGAAAATTAAATTGTTAGAAAATAAAGCTTTTGTTAATTGTTGAACTTTCTATGTTGGTGGAGAGCTGATTTAATGGTGAAGGCATTCGACTTTCAGCCACTAAGTACCAGGTCTGAACCCCGCCTCACTTCGGTTTAGCAATCAGTTAGTGTCACTTAACCTTACGTTTAGACTATGAATCATACACAAGAACTTGGTGAATGAACTAGTTAAAAAATTCTGAATGTTGGTCACTCGATAATAACCAATTTTATGAGTCGGATAGACGAAGTAATGAAGTTATGGAATAGATTAATTCCCTCTTACCTTTTATAATATTTATAGAGTGGTTTCTTTTGAAGTCCAATGTTTTACTGCGATCAAATAAAAGATGAATTTGAAGAATGTGACAAGATCTCATTTATCATTAGAGTGGATGTATAAAATTAAACAAATGGTATTAGTAACATTTTTGACCGTTCTATAATCTGATTTTTGTATTAAAAGTGAATGAAAGAGTTTTAGAGCAATATTCTGTATGTGACAAACACCAAATTCTTTGCTTAGAGAGTTAAACTAGTAATTGGTTGGTTTTTGTGTAATATAAATATTACCTTTCTTTCTAAGACCTGGACGTGGATGTAAAGACCAGATATTCACACTTCTTCGGGTTCTGGAACATAGACAGACATTTCGGCGTCCAACAATAGTTGTACTCCTGAACCTTAAGGCAGCATTTGACTCTGTCGGTTGTGAGGTTCTGTGGCAGTGACTGTTATTGAAGCACATTAACCTTAGACAAGCTCTCTCCTCGAACACTATTGGTCGAGTCAGGGTTTATGGCGAACTGCCATCGGAATTCATTACCTCGAGTGGTGTTCGTCAGAGCTGTCTACTTTCTCCATCCTCCATTACTGCTAATAATTCTACTATCGCTACCACTATTGGATTTGAACTGACAGTTGCGTCTCTGTGCTAACGCGGTGCGGCAACCTGAACTAATGTACGTACGTATGTACGAAGTTCTACGTTGTAACTGACTGACTGACTGACTGACCATCCTCGTTCAACTTTGTCATTGTCGTGATTTTAGAAACGACACTTTTGTCGTCTGACCTTTCAGAAGTTTACCTACTGGGAGACTCGTTTTTCGACTTAGAATATGCCGACTACATGATTCTCTTTGGTAAAGCTGACAAAAAACAGTCTTCTGGCCATCTTCAGCAACAGTGTAAGCATGTTCGGGATGTGATTCTCCCCCTCCAAATGCAGAAAAATGCTTCAGGATTGGCTTAAATATGCACCAGAACAAGTAATAGTGAGTGAAGTAGTTGAGCGTGTCAACCTCTACAATTATGTTAGGAGTCTCATCAGTGCTGATGGCCTAGTAAGTGACGAAATCTGAGCACGTGTTTAGAAGGCTCGACTGGCTTTCATCAACTCGCATCACTTATAAAGGAGACTAGAAATCTGTCTGCTGACCAAAGGACGAGTCTACTGTGCAGCAGTCCGTTATACCTACTATACGGGTGAGAAACATGGCCGGTAAGAGTAAAAGATACTCGTAGTCTACTAGTATTCGACCATTTGTGTCTTCAAAGTATTGGCTGTGTATGCTGCAACCACTGAGTAACCAATGCTGTTGTTAGGAAACAAGTACTAGTTAAGGATGGCAGATGGATAGATGAGGTATTGAAATGTCACCAGTTGAAATGGTTGGGACATGTTTTACGAATGCCCAACCACCAAGTGCGATTATCGGAAAATGATTAGTTCCTGTAGGACAAGAGCAAACACCAGTTTTTCATATTAATTTCACGGCAGTAAGTGTTTAGATGGAAGATGTTAGAAAGTAGATATACATATATAGCTTTATTTAATGGGTGATGAAATGCACTCATATTTGAATGGCATAGACAAAACCTATTACGTTGATCGTATATAAAATTATCAGAAATATATGTAGAACAGTGAAAGTAGATTAATTTTGATGTTCAAACGATAGGTAAACGTTAATAAGTAACTATCAAAGGTCAAAAAAGGACATTAAACCTCACAAGAGGTGATTAAAGACATAATTGACCATGAATTTGAGATAGACGTTGAAGAACTATATATATTAGTAAAGGCCATTGAGATTTGTCCTATCAAATTGATGAGAACGTGTTGGTAAATAAGGATTTACTACATGCTTAAGTCAGGTCGCTCCAGTGATTTGTCTGTTTAATAAAACTAAGGTTCAAATTTTAGTTGAAGTTGTGAAGTAAGGAATCTTAGTGAACTGTGAATGATTATGCCTACTTGATGGCCAAATACTGTAAACATGATGCATAAAAAGTGATCAATCAAGATTAGCGCATAAAGTAGATGATTGCTGTTTGAGCGCAAACAGCCAGAACATGCTATTCACTCAGTTTTTTGAACCGAATAGAAAAAAAGGCTTGGGGACTTGCGATTTAGAGTTAATGCACACTATGTACATGTAACTTAAGAATTTGTAAATGAAACATAAGATCAAACTAACCTATACACTGGTAAATACTGAGGCACAGGTATAGTATCATCCTTATCGTTTTCAAGTTTATTCTGCGAATCTTTATTAGCATGTGTAAAGCCCACGCGAATATCATATACCAGGTGTTCTTTAGGGTCGAATCCGGAAATGTCATCAGAAGCCGGGGGTTTTCTTGTGGGGAACAGAAAATATTTTGGATTAACAGAGAGTGGGATTAAGCCGAGGCGATGGCACATAACCTCATCCGGCATAATGCTTGTGTTTTGAGAAACGTAGACCCTTTCTATTGCGAGGGAAGGAACTTCAGAGACTAAAATCCGCCGGACTGCATTGGCGAAGGAGCAATCCAAATTAATCATATCGAATTCCATTGTGTCAGAATCTTCACCATGACGAATAATTTCAACGTGAAAATTTTTTCTAAAAACACTTAAATTCCAACGTTCTTCTGTTCCAGGGTGATGGAGAACTCCATGATCCTTAAGCTCATAGCACGTCTTCCTGACTCGGGATTCCATGAGGTAACGGATGTAACCAAATACTTGCGTTCCCCAAGGTCACCAGTTTCCAGTCTTCAGTAATAACGATGAGCGGTCAATCAACGTGCTGTAATCTTTGCAGATCAGAAATGTGGAAGAAATAAGGGGTATAAGCATGAAAAACCTGGTACTGTCTACAGTAATCTAGTATCTGGTAACCTACGGTAAGGTAACGAGAATGGGCTTAGGCATCTCGGATTACTTTGAAAGGTTAGTGAGACATTTGACCATTCCGTTCGTTCTCCCTTTAGATCCTCTTAACACTCATTACTGAAACAAGGGCTCGCTTTCGGACTTCTGTATTCCAGATGAGGCCTGATAAACATCGAGTAAATTACCCAAAACATTTCTTTGTACAAGTAATAAAACCCTGAATGATTTGGCAGAGATAGCATTACAATCACTCGTAGTTTTGTAACAAACTAGGTTAGGTATTTACAAGCTGGCTGAATACAGTTATTCATGATTAAAACCTTATATCGAAAGTGGGTACTGTAGAATCTATTTTGAAGGCTTCAATTTTGGGAAAATCCCTCCATGTATATATTTGTGTTGTGATCTTACTGACTCTTTCTGTTCAATATTCTGGTACTCTATTTAGTTCCGGTTTTGGATGTTAATATTTGCATCTTGTTATAATTCCTATTTTTTTACTTTTATTGGATTTTATATGTTTCCTTCTAAACTGTAAATGTGTTGTTTAAATTGATACCTAATATGGCTACAAACATATCGGATTTGATACCTCTGCGGTAACTTCGTATACTTGACTGGAAGGACGCATTCCTCCAGAATCGGAAACTCATTCTGTTAATTTCGGATCGGAACAGTATAATATTGTTTAATTAATTGTCTATATTGCCTTTTTGATCAATAAAAGAACCGTTCTTACCCAGAAAACTTATGTTTTGAAATTTGACTGGGAAAGGCGCGTATCTGACTGCTAGCTGTTTCCGAAATCAAGGTTCACTGAAGTGGATTTTCTATGGGTACCTACATCCTTACTTTGTGCAGGCGTCATATTTGATAACATCGTATTTTCAATGTCACAAGGTCTGTTTGGCTTGATTATAACCTTCTCGCTTCACTGCTCTATTGAGTGAGACCCGAATAAAAGCCCGCAACATTAATGTTTCTGGCTTTTGATGTATATACAGTGGGGGTAGACAGTAAGTTATGAGTCCTAAAGTGTCACCTAACATGACTCCCAGATCTTTATAATTTTCCATTTTAGGCAGCGCTATTTCACATATTGTGTAGTTGCATGAGTTACCGCACTTAAATGTATGCATCACTTCACTTAAGTGGTATACTTTTACGAAGACAACACAATTACTGAAATGGAAACACTTATTATTGTAAACAATTATAACCATAACTGTTTTATTGTACCTCTTTTTGTTTAACTGTACAAAAGGAGAACAACTCGTGCGCCTAGTGTGTTACTCCCATTCGGCGTTTCCCCTTGGTGGTTGTTAGCTGCTGCTTTATTCCGGTCTTGATATATTTTCGATATCACTAGACCATGAATCAATAAACCTTGTCTCCCAGTCACAGTCTTCTTTTTGATATTTTTCTGTATATATGCTATATATGAAGCAGCGTTTTATAATGGTGGATAGACTAAAGAATGACAGACTTTGTTAACATGTCACCCCCTGAGTGATGTTAAACCTAGCCACCACCTGACGCGCCTGCAATCATTGGCAGGAACTATGACAGCCAACTCTTACATAGTCATGGAACTGTGGCTTGAGTCTCTACCAGCACACGTCCGGCCTACGATCACTGCTCTGTTCGAGGACACGTTACTTAACCAGGGTGCCCTTATAGCAGACAGAATTACAGCACGAACTAGCTTGCGCGACAACTAAATGGTTGCCTCCACGTCATATACACTACAGCTGACAGTATCTGTGTACGTTCATCATTGCCGATGTTCCCACAGCTATACTCGGTATCGATTTCCTACAGCGCTTTGAATTGCCAGTCGATTCACGTAGGCTGCAGCAAATCAATACTTCGTCGAACAGCAAATTCATGGGCTTTCCAGCTCAAACAAACTCGTACCGTACCATAGGTGAATTTCATTCGCGTGATGACATTTTCCACAATTCCCCGGCTAATTAAACCGCTCGAGGAGATTCCATCTTTGACTAACCGTGTAGTATACCACATCGTCACCCACAGACCGCCAGTCACTGCAATACCTCGCCGACTGGCACCGGGCAAATTAGCTTTCGCTAACTGTGAGTTTGAATTACTATCTGTAGGTATTATTCGTCCTTCTCACAGTCCCTGGGCCACACCACTCCCCACAGTTCGCAAAGAGGATGGGATAAGTTGGCGACCATGTGGCGACTACCAAGCATTAAATGTAGTAACACGTTTTGATGGCTATTCCATCCCCCTCATACACGGCACCACTAGAGGGCACGACTATTTATTCTCAGATCGATCTGGTACGAGCATACCATCAGATCTCAGTCGCTCTTTAAGACAATTAGAAAACTGCTATCATGGCTCCTTTCGGTCTGTCTGAGTACAAGACCTAATTCTCACAATACATACCTGCTACACCTTTCTATTTTTCCCTCATTTTGTATCCTAACCCCATATCTACGACCATCGCTCTGTTGATGCCGTCGACTTCAGCCAATCTTGGCGAAAGTTGGCCTGATCACCAGCGCTCTTGTCAATGCACCCAGATGTTGTTCCGGTTCTGAATATATCTGGCATAGGTTCGGTTTCAAACTTGGTTGTTATGGTCGTCTTTGGTTCCTTCATTCAATCTGGTTCCGTCCTACATCTACAGAGTTTTATGGTTCGAACCCCTACGAACTCAATCTTCTGAATGTGGATACGAGCCACGCTGATGTGGTACACTGACCCAAACATCAAACATGGAACATTACCGCTAGTACTGTTCTCCGTAAAAGACATTCTGTGATTACTGGGGCTTCATTTGTCGCTTCCTGTTCGTCGACAGTTACGCATTACAATCTCACTTTGGCTGGTCATTCTCCCACAACGAAACTGCTACGTATCGAAAGTGTATACCCTTTTTAGGGTGGCTGCTAAAGTGGATCCACTTTTATGACGAGAACGCGATTGGTCTGGCAGAAACTTTCATCATTACAACCAATTCTACGAGTGTTTGCTTAAATGTACTTTTGGATTATAACACTATTTACGCGCAACTTTCTTGCTGTCATTATTCGATGTAGTTGCTCTTTAATTAGCCCACTTTCCTGGTTTAATTTCGCTGTTCTTTCGGGACCACGAAATAACCAGCAAATATATCCTTTAACCTGGATTTATTTATCTGCTCAGTGACGGGTCTGTAATTAGCATTTAGTGGTGATCATAGTCAATCTCGACTCGGCCGTCACTAAATAATCTTCATTTTTTGACGAATAAGCTGGAAAGAAAAACAGGTCTATAGATTGCAACTAAGTTTCTCCTCCCCCATTTATTAACAGGACTGATTACGGCATATTTCCAGCCTCTTAGCAGTTTAGCATCCTCTTGAGATAAGATGAAGTAACCGTTAGTCAAATCCTCCCTCGGTAACTAGGCCGTCCATTGACAAACCATCATCGTTGTAATTGGTCTTTTATCATCGTCGGTCGGAAACACTTTGTCAAAATACCCACATAAAGTTCCTGCCTAATCAACAACATTTCTTGTCAGTATCGACAGATCTTCTTCAACCAGAAGTTGTGGAATCCCATCACTTTCCTTAGTTCATCTATTTGTATATGAGAAAAACTTTTGGACTACTTTCACAACCTCTGACCAATCGTTTCCCCTGAAAAATTCTAGAATTATTTAGTGACGATTCGCGTTTTTTGTCTTACAATAAGTAGATTTTCACTGTTCAATGCCTGTAGTGATAAACCTATCCCATTGCTTCCCCGCTGCATCTAAAAGACTTCTTGAACACTGTAGCTGCCACGTTAGGCAGCCATTTGGTCTACATGGTAACAAACACGGTATAAGCAGAAGCGTAATTGAGAAAAGTGTATCTTTAAATATAAACCATGCCTCTCCAATTGCTAAGCTGTTAGTTACGGACCAGTCTAATTCTGCAGAGCACTCGCGTAGGGTTGTTAAGTTCGCTCTTCTTACACTTGGACGAGATTGGATCTGATCATATTCTATGACATATTCTCTAAACATGAATGGCAAAACAAAATGATCAATGATAGATGATGGGGTTGAATATTTAGAGAGGCAATATTCTTTAGTGTATGAGTGACTGCTAAGTCGAACAAATAAGATCCTTGGTTTGAGCATAAATGTGTGGATTCAGATGAAAGCTTTGCTCAATCATGTTCCAATAAAGTCATCAAGAACTTACTGTGGAATGCATTTTCATACCCTACAGTGGATATTCTTGTTAAATTATGATCAGAGGCAATAAAATACCCCAAAACCAACCATCTGTTACACTGAAATCATGGCTGAATGTTCTCTCATATAAAACCATCAACTAGATAGCTCCGGAAATGATGGATGACACCTAGTATAGTTGCGTTACCTGAAACGTGAGTTCACAACTAGTGACTTTGTAATTCTCTTTGTAGTGCGATCCACAAACGAGGGATCAGATATTTATACTACAAATTAACAAAAAACATCACCATCTTTCCTACTTCTATTTCTATCACTTCTTGGGTAGTTGTATCCTGATAAATCTGGTGTAACATCAAAGTATTGGACCACTCGGGTTTCAGTTCCATCAGTGATAGATGGCTTGGATTCATCCTCAAGTGCCAATAATTGAAGGAATTTATTTCCTAAATTATAAGGATTTGTATATGGAACTCCTAAGAAGGCCGGCCCACTTAAATCTTAGTAGCACTTGCTTCCATATTGTTGACCAGTTTCTAGTCTGTCTAGAGCCTGCTTCCTTCGTATTTATCCTCAAGAGATATGTCGGATTTTATTGGAATGTCGGTATAATTTTGAAGACGAGCACAAGTTAACTGTGGGATCCGAAATGAGGTTTGAACTGATGAACAACTCT